CATTGGTGTTACATTAGCCATTAGTTTTGTTATGGAAAACAAATATATTTAAGATAATATTTTATTGATCTGGCCTTAACCCTTAAAAGCCGAATGTCCCTTCCAAGGGACATTTTGAGAATTTGAATAAAACATGCAATAATAGTGCATACACAATGTTTTTTTTTTTCTTCGACTCAAATGATCTGGTGGATCATAAAAAAAGAGTAAAGGCAAATCTGAATAATTGTCAGAGGAAACAAAGCAGTTTTTAAGGCTGACAACTTTTTAAGTATCTATTTTTTACTTTGAAACTTTTTTGTATTGATGAATACTTTAAGAAAATCTGTTTTTTCAAGCGGTATCTCGCGACACATCATTACTCTATCGTATGAAATCATTCAACGATGTTTTGATTGATCTATTGATGAATTGTAATGTCATAAAGAAAATGTCCCTTGGAAGGGACATTCGGCCATAACGGTCCAAATTTTTCCTCCATTGTATGAAAACGCTATAAGGGAACAACAGCCCCCAGATCTTTTCGGCAATACATGCCAAAGAAACCTACAAAGAGAGGTTTCAAAGTCTGGACAAGGTGTGGAGTTTCAGCTTTTGTCTACGAAATGATATTACATCATGGTGCACCGAAAACAATGTCTAATGAATTAGCTCTACCTGACTTATCATTAAAACGTACCTCATCTCGATCAACAACAACAAAAGCCTTGAATACTATTAAATCAATTAATGCACAACGTGCAAAATTGCTTAAAGAGTTTGGCTCTTCAGGATTAGTTGTATTAGATCTAGTACAATATGTTCCTGTTGGGTCTGCAATATTTATCGATAATTATTTTGCATCAACTAAATTAATAAAAAAATTAACTCAACTTGGTTATAGAATCACCTGCACGTTACGATCGAATCGAACAGAAAAATGTCCAATATCAACAGAAGAACAATTTGCTCAAAAGAAGAGAGGTTATTATGAATCTGTCATATCAGATGACAAAACATGCATTGTAGTCGGATGGAAAGATTCAAAAAGAGTATTATTAGGTTCTAATTATATAGGTATAGAACCACAAACAATATTAAAACGTTGGGATAAAGAAAAACAGCGTCGAGTTGATATTATAGCACCTCAAATTATTAATAACTACAACAAATTCATGGGAGGGGTCGACAACATGGACATGCTAATAGCTTTACACCCCATCCCATTCAAATCCAAACGTTGGTATTCCAGAATTATATGGAGAATTTTAGATGTAATGATTATTAATGTAAGTAAAGTTAGCAGCAGATTCGAGTATTTCCCCCTAATATTCGCAACAACATCTCTGCCAGATTAAATATTGGTTGTGCCAGGTAGCCCATCGAATATACTATAGAATGCCATAGGTTCAACACCTTTTCACTACATCGTTTACCAGCAAAATAAAAAAAAATGATAAAAAAACGCTTTTTTTACTGCGAATATCAGTATTTCCACCAAATATTCGCTCCTCATCTTGTGCCATTCACGAAATCACTTGTGCCAGATACAATTCGATGAGATCTATCGATTGGTACCCATTACGCGACAATCCAAGCCAACATACAGGGGCCAAGTGATCAGCACCTCGGAAACCAACTTACGCCACCCTTAATCCGGGCAAATATTCGATTACATGGTTGTGCCACTCGTAAAATCAACTGTGCCAAATAGAACTCGATGAGATCTATCGATTGATGCCAAATAAGCGATGATCCAAATCAAGATGCAGGGTCCAAGTGGTCAGTACCTATGAGAACCAGGTCTCGGGACCGGTAATTCGAGCAAATATTCGCTTAGATGGTTGTGCCACTGGTGAAATCACCTGCGTCCTATAGCACTCGATGAGATCTATCGATTGGTATCCATTACGCGATGATCCAAGTCAACACACAGGGATAAAATGGTTAGTACCGATGAGAACCAGCTCTCGAGACCTTTAATCCGAGCAAATATTGGCTTAGATAGTTGTGCCACTCGTAAAATCAACTGTGTCAGATAGTATTCGATGATATCTATCGATTGATGCCATATAAGCGATGGTCCAAGTCAATGTACAGGGCCCCAGCGGTCAATACCTACAAGAACCAGATCTGAGGTCCGTTAATCCCATCAAATGTTTGCTTAGATAGTTGTGCCACTGGTGAAATCACTTGTGCCAGATAGAGATCGATGAGATATGTCGATTGGTACCAATTACGCGATGATCCAAGTCAACATACAGGAACCAAGTGGTTAGTACTTGTAACAACAAGGTCCCGGGACCGGTAATTCGAGCAAATATTCGCTTAGATGGTTGTGCCACTGGTGAAATCAACTGTGCCAGATAGTATTCAATGAGATCTATCGATTGATGCCAAATAAGCGATGATCCAAATCAAGATGCAGCGTCCAAGTGGTCAGTACCTATGAGAAC